GAGCCATGATGGGCTGCCTGGAGTGCAGTCTCTGTCTTGGACCCCTCCAGGAGGGAAGGAAGGACCCTTGACCCGGGTCTGATCCCGGGATTGTGTTGTTTAGGACATCCCTAGGGATTTGATCCTTGTTGCTCTATGACTGCTGACCCCTGAGCCAACCCCAACCAAGCAGGGAGCCCTGGCCATTTGATGTTCCCCTCCCCATCCCTGCCCGCACCTCAGAACTGTAGGAGCCATCCCCCCCTCAGCCTCTTCCTCCCCAGGGAGCAAAGCCATAAGGGGTGGGGGCCACTCCATGGCGACTCTCTACAATTCTGCTCAAGCCTCAGGAGGTGGAACTGACTTGGGGGTTTGCCCTCCCAAGCCACCCCCCACAAAGGGGAGTGGCTTGACTCTCTCTCAGCTCTGCAGTTGTTGGAGGCAGGAGCAGTCAGATGGGGTGGGTGGTACCCAGGGGCACATCCTTGGCCCTGCCCCATGGGTCTCAGGGAGGCCAGGTGTGACCTCATCTTTCTCACGGTGCTATCCCTGGTGCTACTGGGGTGTAGGGGAGGCTCCCTCTCCTCCCCACACCAGAACGGGGGTGTGATGGGGGGGGATTGGAAGAACTTGAACTTTTTATTAAAACCTTTTAAGCCCTTAGGAGTTTTTCTGTTTTAGGGGGATGTCAAGAGGGAGATGGGGTGGCATGCCTTGAACACTGATAGCTACCCCGACGAGCTCCTTAAGAAGGGAGGCGGGCAGTGGGTTCTGGGGACTGCTGTACTAAGGTAAAGTCCGGTGACCACAAGAACAGGGCTTATAGGAGGAGACCAGGGGCATTCTCTGTTGTGGGGAGTGAGGAGATAGATGGATGACTGATGACCGGGAAGCAGTGACTGGCCTGAGGCCATGGAAGGACTTGTCTCTTTCACTTCGCAACCAGGTGCCCTTACCTCTAGTGTAGGGCCCGGGGTGGGGTGTGGTGGCAACCCTTTAATTCTAGCACTCAAGAGGCAGAGGCAAGTGAGTTCAAGGCTAGGCTGGTCTACACAGGGAGTTCCAGGCCAGCCACCGCTACATAGACTGTGAAAAATCAAATCAAATAAAATCTGCAGGGAGTTGTTGAGCCTGTACAAATACAGGTTCTGGGGAGACATAGCAGGGGCCCAGAAACCCAGC